AAATGATAAGCTCACGTTAAGCTTCTTTGCACATTTCAGGTCAGGAAATTTTCCTGAAAACCAGTTTTCCCTCATTTCTTGTGTTCAGATTAAATTACTGAGGCCAGGTCTACATCAACAACCTACTTAGAGGGGAAGACATTTAAGTAGATACGATTTGGTTGTGTCTACATATATGAAACAYATACATTCACTGATTTAAGCAAAAAGGATAAATTAGCGCTGAAATAGTTCCTTTCATCTTGAAAACTTTTTCATTTTATGGAGTTTAACAGCTTATTTTACACTTAAATGCAACAGTGTAGTGTGAATTCCCAGGAACTACAGCGACTCTTCAGCACCATCCCAGTTCCTCGCCCATGGCAGATGCTCCCTCTTTCAGCACACCCCTGCTGTCACCCCAGTGCAAAGCTGTGCTTTTATCACTGGTGCTGCACTGAAAGCTGTGCCCCATCTAGAAACTCCCTTGTCCCGTACCTCCCACACAGATAACGCTCTGATGCTTGGCAGAGGGTAAGGATGGGCTCTGTGTTTGTTTCTGGAAAAACAGTGCTGGGAATCCACCTGCAGAATCTAAATATTCCAGGGGCAAACACACTCCAAAAGRAGGCTCTCATATCCAAACCTGACAGAACCCCAAGCTTTTGTATGAAATGCYAGGTGAATTTTGCACTGGTCTTAGYTTGGGAAAGCATTTGGAAAAGGCTGGGGGAAATAACTGGTGGATGAACCYCAGAGAAAGTGGAGTAAAGCYTCYCAGCTTTTCTTTGCTGCATGATTCCCCCAGCACTTTCCAGCATTAGAGTTGCTGCTACTTTGCTTTTAGTTACAACAACTGATCACAGTTTTCATAACCCTTAGAGTGGAGCAGAGCAGTCCCTGGATGCCTTTCCTAGCTTCAGTAAGCAACAGGGATTACAGAGTTTAGGCACACATAGTAATTACTTTTTGCATCTTGCACCTTTCACCTGGTGGAGCTCAGCATGCATCACCAGGAGGTTACAAGAAAGGAAAAAGCAAGAAAAAATGGGCTTGAACACATTCAGCTGATTGACCCATGGAGGACACAGCCTTGCTCTCCACATTGCCAGAAAAAGAAATAGCACATTTCCCACTACAGATATAAAAATAAGGAGGAGAGGCACTGGTGATCCTCAGGACTGTCCTMCCTAGCTTAACTTTTGCTTGGAATTAAAACTGCTCACTGACCCCAAAGACATGGCATTTTCTTTTCATTCTGCAGTTCTGAACATTCTGAGCTATTGATACAGTTGGTTCCATTGACAGCTTCATGCTGAAAGAAACACACCATTTCTTTAAAACAATACACAACATTTCAGACTGAAGAAATGCTTTGATCCCACACCAGCAGGCAAGAGCTGTATTTCACTCCACTGACACAATAACAGTGCACTGGCATTTCTGCTTTATGGCAGAACAGGCAGCAGTGAAAACCCAACGTTACCCGGAGGCACAAAGGAGCAGCAAATACCCACAGACAGTGCCTTCAACACCCAATTCCAAGGCAGGGGCCCCAGCTGGGCAGCACAAGTGCATCCCTGAGACGCACAACTGCCTGTCAGTGCAACGCCACAGCAGCAGATGCTCTGCTGTCACATCCCTCTCATCCTCAGCAGCCCCAAAGCAGGGATTTGCATCCYATTTTCTTCCCTTTGGGCTCCCGACACTCAATATCCACAAGCCCCTTCCACCACCGCTAGCAGGCTGAATTAAGAAAGTCTGACACTGAGCAGCATGCTCAGTATTTTCACAAAAAAACTGTTGCATACTTTTCAAAGATAAAAACCCTTACATAAAAATCAACCTATTCTCAGAAGGCAGCTTAATTCTGACACTGGAGTTATGCTGCATGAATAAAGCTKGTGCAAAGGGTGCAGCTGCAAGAACGGTTGCAAGTACCCACTGAAATCACTGCTAAYCATACAGTTGATACTTCTTTAGAAGTATCTATAAGCTCATTTAATTAAATATGGAGCAACTGCAGGAAACTGCTTATGACTAATGAAAGCTCCAGATGTAGCTGGTCAGGGGATCTAGCAAGGTGTTTTCAGTTGCAAAATTGCTCAATTCAAAATWGTTTCTTCCTGCCAAATTGTCAAATCCCATCCAATTACACACAGGTACAGTGGCAACCCTTTTACTGTGGTACAATGTTATTTTATCTATCAAATGGTAATGCTTATTACATCTATCTGAAGCATTTAATAAAAATCGAAACATCTTTTAAACACCTGATTCAAAGGATTATGTTTCTTTTCCCACAGACACAAATTACCAAATCTTCACACTACTTACATCCAGTTTGGTAAGGTAAAACAGGTACTCCCATTTCAGTCTTGTACACAGGACTGAGACAAATTAAAACTAAGATAAAAAAATGCACTGTAGCCTCATATGGCAACTTTCAGACATAGGTTTGAGAAGCACTGTCTTCTGTCAAGTATCCAAAATTTGGTTTACATAACTATTTAGTATAAAGGCTCTTGTAAGGGTAGCTAGCAGGGCAAGTGAAAAACGTGGAAAAACTGTGATCAAGTACTACATCACAGACAAACATTCAGCGGCCTTCCAAAAATACACTCCTCAAAATGTATTAAAACACGCAATCCCATTCAGAGACCAAAGACACATTGAAATTAATACTATTTTTTTGTTAAAATGCAAGACTGAAAAATCTTTGAAAAATCCTTGGAGGGCCACCCAGATGCACTTAACCCAAGACATGTGGATATAATGGAACTACTGCATTCACATCAGCCAGCTTCTCCAACTGTTGCAAAACAATYTGACATACACAAACTATGGGAAACTTAAATTGAGGATACTAACTTTGCTTGGTTATTAYATAAATTGCATTGTAATGTGGAAACAAAGCAACAGGAAAGAAGTCTTCTTTTACGAAGTTGCTATACAATTCCATTTATCAGAGATTTTCTTCATGAACCAAGTTTTAAATCAAGACTGGTAACACAKGTGAGACTGGTAACTTTACCTACGGATTTAAGACAGATGCCAAGTTTTTCAGGCAGAAGTCTGCACAAATCAAATTTTCTATCAYTTTTCCACCAAGCACACATTGCAATCGATAAATGGACACTCAAGTGTGAGGTTTTGTATTCTGACAAAGTARTTTTAAGGATGGCAGCCACTTCCCAGTGTGCAGGTTAAGCAAAGCCACAAGYACCATAAAGTCATCTTGAAGAAGCATTGCCAAATCACCTCTTGACAAAGCACTTCGTTAAGTACGCTGCCACTTGTCTTGAGTATTGTTGCTTTTTTCTTTTTTTAATATCAAAGTCAGACATTGTGGCACAGCCCAGTGTGATCCGTAACAGTCATTTAGATAACGAGGGGAAAATAGGTGCACTCAGCATGTGTTTTAAAACATGTTTTCTATTCAGAACCCCAGTGCTCCATCTTTAGGTCTTTGATCAAAACTGTATGCAAAAGGCGTGATTCATAACTGCCAGCATCAAAATACTCATATTCTGTGTCTGTGTGTCTCCAGCATGGAAACAATGAGCTCTCCGCCCCAAACCCAGCGCTTGTTCCAGCACATCAGGTGCAAATGGACACTGCACCAGGACATTTGTGGGATAACTGCTAAGAGTGTATGTTCCAACACTGCCCTGGAGCCCACAGATGAGGATAATTTCCTAGAAAGTCTGAGGAGCTGGGAAGCAAGGCTGAAGCCCCAGGTGCAGCCTGCCCTCTCCCGGCCCCCTGCCTGCCCAGGTACCAGCAYCTACCAACCTCAATAACCCACAGTRGAGAGATCGAGAAGGAAAAAAGCTGGAGAAGACTGAGAGAAGAAAGCATAAAAGACTGGATGGACAGGAAAAGTGGCAGAGGGCACAGCACTGGAGGAAAAATAGTGAAGTCGAAATAGCCGGATTTATAAACACAGCAAATAACAACATAAGATTACGTGTAGAGACAAAAACTGAATTCAGTAAACTACACATTTAATTTTCACATCTAGAAAGCAGAGCAGGATCTGCACACGGTGGATGGGTAGGTACTACAAGTTGTCCCAAGTGACAGAGTACTGGTGCGCTGGGAGCACAGTTCTTAGCAGCTTTTCGAGGCCAAACCACTCACAGTAATTTACAAGGGTAAATCACCTCTGAGCCCCAAGTTCTTGCCTTCTCTCTCAAGGATATAAACAAAAATATAGAAACTGACAAAAACTAAGCATGCACTTTGAGAGGCATCACTTACTTAATATAAGCCTACTGCTGAAAGAATAAAATGAAAACCAAAGGAAGCTTCTCTTGAGCTGAATACTGGTGCTACACAACTGAGGTTTGCAAGAAYACTTAATTTGCTTTTTCACCTGCCTAATAGAAAATTCAAAAATAGAAAATTCGACCGGCAATAGAGCCAGATTTGCAACCCCTTGTGGTTTCARGCCCGAGTCATTTGAATGAAAACCGGGGAGTTTGCAAAAGAACGTGGTAAGAGACAAGGTCCTCATCCTGTGTGGGCAGTTTCAGTATCCCTGAGTTRTCAGCGGTTAACAAAATGATTGCCTTACATTTCACTGCCCGTCACCTCCTGGGCCTGTTAGAACTGTGCAATAAAGAATAGCGCCTGTGCGCTTTTGAGGCTGGARAAAGCAAAGAAGCACTAAAGCAAACCCCTAGGACGGTGGGGGGCAGGCGCTCTCCCGCGAAGTTCGGGGATGCTGGGATGCCCGCGGCAGGCAGCGCCGGCAATGGGACGAGAGATCCCTCTCTCGGGGAAGGGAGCGGATCCCAAGGATGCRTTTTCAGGCTCTGCACCCCGGGCGCTCCCGCCGGACCGGGGGCAGGACCGGCCCCGCACCGCGGCACCTGCGGGAAGCGCCCACGCGGAGTGCGGGGAACGCGAGCCCCGGGGCGACCGCGCCTCGCTCGCCCCGAGTTCCCCGCGCCGCAGTCCCGGCAGAAGTGCCGCCAGACGCCGTGAGACACAGCCGCTCCCGCTCCCCCGCCTACCATCGCCTTGCCGTGCGGGGCGCCGGGTCCGCGGCGCTGCGGCTGCCCCCGCTGATCTCCGCTGCGGTCTCGCTTCTCGCGGCCGCCGCGCTGCTCCTCGCCGGCGTCGAGGGAGGTGAAATTCCAGACGAGGAGGGTCTGCAGGAGCAGCACGGTGAGCGCCGCCACCAGCGCCGAGCGGGAGCGCCGCGCCAGCCGCCGGGCGCACGGAGCCGCCACCATCTTCGCTGCTGCYGCCGCCGCCGCGCTCCCGAGAGCCGCCGCATCCGCCGCGGCACCGAGTTTTCAGCCGGGCAGAGCCAGACGTCAGCAGGAGGAGGGCGGAGGTGGGGAAGGAGGGAGGGGGGGAAGGAGGAGGAGGTGTTCGCGGCGCGTGGGGATGGGGGAAGCCGGCGGGGAGCCCTGGCGGCGCGGCAGCCCGCGGCCGGGCCAGCCCGGGGCCAGGGGTGGGGTTGGCGGAGGAAGAGGAAGGAGGAGGAGGGTGGGCTGGAGGCGGAGGAGGAGCGGCGGCGGGGGCTGCGGGGGCTGCTGCCGCCGCCGGCGGGCGGGCGAGCCCCGGCTCTGTGCGAGGGGAAGGGGCCGGGGCGGGGCGGCTGGCGGCTCCCGGCGGGCGGGCAGACGGCAGCGGGGAGGGGAGGGCAGGGGAGGGGGCGGCCGGCGGCGGGGCGGGAGGCGACTGCCATCTTCTGAGGGAGCGCGGGCTCGGCGGGCCGGGCGGCGGCACCTGGCGGGCGGCGCGCGCCCCTCGCCTCACGGCCACCRCGGGGCCCAAGTCCATGAGACTGCGATGATTTTTTTAAAGTTTTTTTTTTCTGAAGTAATAGGGTCCCTGGCAGCCTCTCGCCTCAGAGGAATGACAGCGACAGCAAGGTGTCACACCTCCACACCCCGGTGAGGTTTGCAGGGACCACGCACAATGCGGCCGTAACTAAATGCCCAGTGTCTCAAAAAATGAGCATAATGGAAGAGGTCAGTTGCCTTTTTCTCCCRTACTGGTATTGGCTTTCTAATCTGAAAGATCTCATTATCTGATGATAGAACTGAAGTAGGCAGTTGGTTTAATCTGCCTGCACCATGCCTGTTTTTCTAAGCCTAATTCCACTCTACAAACCAAATCCAAAGGTAAAAAGCATTATCTCCCTGTAAGAACAGTTGCTTTTTTAAATGACAGCCAGGTAGGATTTGCACAGACCAGCGGGATTTTGTTTCCATTGGAAGTGCTTTAGTTTTTGATCTGAAGAAAATGAAAGAAGTAGTAAGATTCAGAAGCATCCTTTATTAAGGGAATTTTCCTCATGATCCAGTGAGGCTACAAATAAAATTTTACAGGAGGAACCATTCGTTGCAACACTTCACAAGCAAATGAAGTATTTGTGGCAGTTTCAAACAGTGTCACTGTCTGAGTATCACTGACTGCAAGGTGTCTCCAAACAGAGAGGTCAAAACACATCATTAGTAACTTCCAGGAAAGTCAGCCCAGAAAGGCTCCTTTCTGTGACAGAGCATCGTCTGGCTGACCTTCCGTTCGTGCAGTGGAACACTGTCCCATTTTTGCCAGCTGGGGTGATGGCAGGGAGCCCGTGATAACAAATTTTGACAGTGTCGGGCTTCCACACCAGTTGCACATGCATCCCATTTGCTGGTCCCACAGTACAGCAAAATGAGCTGTTACAACAAAAAAATTACTGCACAGTTCACAAAGTTAATGGGTAATTTTTGTTTCAAACTATCAAATAATTAGGCATTATAAACACAAGCAAATTTGCTGACAAATACAAGATAAAAGCATGTTCCACTTGGGATTTAATGCTTTTCTCTTCAAAAGGAAATTGTGGTCTTAGCAAGCAGTTGCTCCATGCGGCCTTCCCTTGTAGATTGCAGGAGGTCCTCATAGTGCCAGAAATAAAACAGACATTGAACAGGCCAAATGACCAAGAGCTGTGAAGAGCCTCAGGACCTGATTCTAGTCCTTTGTACCTCACTGGTAATGGGAGACACATWCCTATGGATACCCTAAAATGGCTAAAATCCCTAACAGCAACATTCAAGGCAGGCAGTACTTCAACACAAGGAACCACTGTTTTCTATAAAAGGAGCACAGCAGTAATTTTGATGAACTTGTGATCCATGCTTCTTAAAAWTTTTATGACCTATTGGAAAATTTCCTCCAGATTTTATGGAGTAATTTTTATGCTGGAAAATGTCCGTGGGTGTTCCTAATCTCTGTRTATAATTACTGTGACTGATAGGGCAGTGAGGAACAGCAGTGCATGCTCAGTCTCACACGTGTCCTACTGAAAGCCAGGCTGGAGAGAAGATTTGTATCCAAACCACAATAATTTATAGGCCATAAAGATCTGAGTCTTCTCCATAAAGTCAGCCCTGTGTATGGGTGGGAGCCCCAGCATRAGACACTTCTGCACTGACAGAAAAAGTGGAGCAGAGAGAGGAGCAGATTTCTCCTTCAAAATCCTCCTTTCCCCATATTAGACTTGTAAAATCTGGAAAGGATAGTGCAATAAGTATGGTGTTCATTTTTAAAACCATGGTATGACCAATAACAACTGTTCAAAACATCCTTCTGTGCTAAAGAAAACAGCCAAATAGAAAGAAGAGAATTTAACCAATAGCCTTTTTTTTCTTGTGTTGATCCAAACTGAAAAATATAAAGGGCAAGGCTGAGCATCTTGAGAATTTGAAGACGAAAAAACAAATAACAGAAACTGAAAAAATGAACTGTACCAATCCAAAGAACAAACAGAAATCAGAAATTGCATGAAAGTTAAAACTGTTAAATGGATTTTCTTATTAAAACATTTATGAATAATGGCAGCTTGATTGAGCTGTGTTGCATCAGAAAATATTTAACTAGGTTGCACAGAAGACACTTGAGAGAGTTACCACTCTGAAAATTCCCAAAGTTGCCCATGTTAGGTGAGATAATTAGTATCTAGCACAAAATATATAAGAGAAAAAACAGATTTGATTCTTACGTAAGTATTATGTTGGTTGCACTCAACTGTGAAAGATGGTGTTTTAAGCAAGGGTAACTACTGTGACTTGGCCAATTACTGTGACCTGACTAATTTGCTCTAAATCCCAAGAGATGATTGATTTAAATATTTTTTGCCACTGTACAGGTATGTAAATTCAGTGTGGGTGTGTTTGAGAGATGGAAGGTATCAATCTTGCCTACTTAAAATGGTGTAAAAAAAGAACCATACTCAGTTCCATTTTAGTGTGATCTACTTTGCTAGATTTACCTATCCTGTTATAAAAAAAAAATTGTTTCTTCCTCCTGACAGTGTAAATACAGCCTAAAATTGCATCAAGTAACCAGACTTTGCACAAAGAAATAAGTGAAGTTGAGAGCAGTGTTAATAAGCAATATCCTTTGCTCTACTTTGCAGAGCTTATGGTCCATCTGGTGAACAAACACTACAGGCTTATCTGAACTCCAGCTCACAGCCTGACTCATAGGCGGTACAGAAGCACATTCTGTAATCAGTGAAAGACTAAGTTATTTCAAAGTGAAGATTTGCATTTTTTCTTAAAAACAGTCATGTCCTTATCACATCAAAATTTAGATTTCAGCTATRTGTTATCAGGTTGAAGGGGAAAAAGGTGAATGAACTGATTTATCTAAGAATGGGTATCTTTAATATACTCAAAAGCAAATCTGTGAAGAATACAGAACAAATAGCAAATCTGTGTATATTCCCATGATATCAAAAAAATCATAGCACCTAAGGAATGTGCCTTAGGACTAGAAAGGATTGAAAATAGTCCACAAGCAGTRTTCAATGAGTAATCTGCAGCAGCAGTAGCAATGTCTTCTGTAAGTTTGGGCTTCTTCCCTGAAGTGACAAATTCTTTCTTTTACTTCAGWCACTAGCCAGAACAAGAACCACTCCTAATCACTTTAGCACATATGGAGGACATGGGCCTTTTCCCTGGGAGTCTGGCAGTCTTGCTGCTCTAYGCATCAAATCTGAAAGAGCAAAACCAGGGTAGAGAATTACTCCTTGAGAATTTCACCCTCTCAGACTACGGTCCCTGTCTGCTCTGCAACAAGTTCCCAAAACATTGCTTTTTGTTTTTAAACACTGGTATATTGCTAGATTTAAAAGGTAGAGGAATTGTGTTTTCATCTTTTTGGAACCACAGAGCCACSATTACCTTCATGTTCTGGAATTCAATCATTCTTATGATTTACATGTGTGTTCTTCRCCACTCAGGTATACTGTACCATGGATAGTCACTCTTCCATATTTTTTTCTCATAAACATTCATTTTACATCAGGCTACTCTCCAAGTGGGTTATAAATTCAAGTGCTCTCTTATGTGCATGGGCAGAACAAGAGTCAGTAGAAATGGGACCACTGAATGCAAAAAATGCCTTTCATTCTGGTGGTTATGTAAAACCAGAGATTCCAGCAAACCTTTCTTAATGCATTCTTGTTTCATTTTGCCACTTCACAAATGCCAGCTCTGGTGTCAATGAATATGCAAAAGACAAAATTTTGACACCAACATTTCATTCTGGTAACACTGTCTATAAATTATCAGCTGAACATACTGTGTCAGGATTGTCAAAGACAATAAAAGCAGGTTCTATGCTCAGTTTGTATGAAATATGTAATGTGCATAAGGAGTGTATCTTACATCTCCTTTTTGAGAGGTAAATTTAGTTCAGGACCTTGGCATATGCTCCACTTCAGGAAGTGAAGGAAAATGGAAGAATTATTCCCTTCACCATCACATTAAAGCATCYCTTTTTCTTTATAATCTCTTAGCATATAAAACCTTTTACTATCCATGAGGGGAAATGGCTGTATATGTACTTCATATACAGCCCTTAGTGTTGTGACAGCTTTTTCCTTCAGCCAGTGGTCGAGGATAATCACGGAAGGATTACCCATCTGTTCTTGCCATGTGGCATTCTGTCTTCAGTAAGGAGATACTGCAGTTCACAGCTTCCTGCAGTTCTTTTTTTCTGATGTTCTCTCATTAACTAAAAATTGTTTTTTATTATCCATCTGAGTTACTAAGTTAGAAATTCTGGAAGACTCATGAAGGTGACCTACTTCGGATTATCTAAATTAGAACCAGCCACTGCCTGTTGCAAATAGCATTTGTTTAGATGCAGAAGGAACTGTTTTTTTTTGGCTTGGGCTTTCATTCTAGGTTTTGTGGTTTTTTTCTATCTGTGCATTTGATGGAAAAAGACAAGTGGTACACAAAAAAAAAGGGTAATCAAAGGAGAAGAGAGGAAAAAAAGAGACCTTATCACTAAGAGTGACACTGTAGGTTGTGTTTGCATGATTAGCCAGTTTCAGAACATCCAACAGTTTTTTGACTACATTTACTATGAGGACATACCAATGCAAAGTATATGTAGAGATTTATCCCAGTAGTCACCTGCAGTTTAGTTTGGAACCTA